AATTCAATTTTTCGTGCCTAGAATTTTCTAAAAGGATTAATTTTCCTAAAATTTTTCATGAGTTCCGGAAAAAAAAATTCTGGATTCGAAGCAGAAGATGCGCAGCTGGACTTCGCAAAACTTGGAGTACTTTTATCTCTGTTGAAAATAAAATACTTGATTGATTTGAAATATTTAAATAATGGAATGTATTTTAACATTTAATTTTTGTACCATGTAATCACTGTTATCGGAGTGCAGGCCTATTTTCCGTGATAAGCTGATGTTTGTTTTCTGTGATAAACTGCTGGTGTCTGTTTTCTGTGATAAGCTGATGTTCTTGGGGGAAGAAGCATTTGTTGAGGTGTAGCTAGCACTGAGACTGATCTGGTGAACATGTGGTGCTGGATGGAAGCACACATTTTGGAGAGGCTTCGTAAAGAGAGTAAATTTTGTTTACATAAAGGCAAGTGGTGGTGCACTCCAACATTGTGCCTTACAGCACTTGGATGAGGTACACGGAGGGGGGAGGGCGAAGGAACGAAGGTGGTATTGCACAAAACCACCTCCATTTACACATTTGTCGGCGGCTCTCTAAATGCCGGGGAAAGTATGGTTTTATGTAATGTACAGCATGATTACAAACCGATTTATCGGAGCTTAATTAGCATAACACAGAGGCAGCAGCCCCGTGAAAGCTATTTGCAAAAAGCATTAGCATTTAGCTAAAAAAATTCTTCAAAAAAAAAAAAAAAAAGTAACTGGAGATGTTCTTTTTACCGCTGAAATCTTGCTTGGAAGTAGGAGTTGAAGACAGGAATAAGGATTTATGGAAAGGGCAAAACATATGGGTCTGTGATACCAATTAGGAAACTAGATATTGAAGGGGAACTAATAAGCTTGTGCTTGCATTCCAGTATGTCACTGAAATGAAAAAATTCAAGTTGTATGTGATTATAATTTTCGCAACTTGCACCCAAACCCGCGGTTGGGCGTGGCCCGTGGGGCTTGGTAAGGTCGAGTTTTAGTGACTGCCGCAGAATAGGGGAGAATGGAGAAGTTGCCAGCTGCATCAATGGCGAGAAGAAACGCGATGATGAAACAGCAGATGATAAATATCGAAATGAAACAATGATTTATTTCTCTTATTTTGAATGGAAACAGGTGTTACTAACTGGAAGCATGCAGTTCAAGAAATAAGAACTGAGCTGGGCATTCGACTGCATTCCATTAACTTCGCCTTCCTTGCTTCTTGTTTGGTTCTTCAACTGTGCAATTCGTAACATTATCATAGCCTGGTTTTTCTAGGCCGCTGGCAAGGCTTGTGATACTTCGAGCGATTTTAGTAGTTTGAGAAAAAAACCCTTTATTTTTCCCAAGACTTATTCTTGTTTGAAAAAAAAAAGGAGTTTTTTTTTTTGCAGGTTGGGCGTATCGAAAAGGACTACCCATGCGTGGATGCTCATCGTGCACCGTGCCTTGAAGTAGCATGGAGTCCGTTCAATGATAATGTGATTGCGAGTTGTTCCGAGGATACAACTTGCAAGGTAATTGATGCCCCATCTTTTGTACAGTCCATTAATTTTCTCGCTACAGTATTAGAAGTGTCTGGAGATAGCTTTTTTTTTCATTAGACCCGGAATTCGGTCCTTGATCAGGACTTTCCGGAAAAAAAACCCGCATCTGAATTTAACGTACTTCCTTTTTTATCCGCTTATTTCCTTGTTTCATCGCCATCAGCTCGCTTGTAAGCAATAGTGGAGAAAGAAGATTGGAATTAGGTATCATGTATAAGAAGACATTTCACAATGTTTCATCCCTTAGCTGTATACACAGACCGAACAATGCATGCGAGTAGGAGTGGGAATCGTCAGTACAGCCTTCTACTCACCATATATTGAAAGGACATGTAACTAATTTGCAAGAAGGATAAGTGAAAGAGAAAGAGGAGAGGAAAGTGTAATAGCATGAATGTAATAAAAGTGTTGGAGCAGAAGTAAGAGGAGGGAACTAACGTATGAGACGGGTAGTAATTCTCTGTAAATTATGAGGAGGCAACGTTCATGAGAATAACTTACTAACTAAACTTTTAATTCCTACGTCATCGGGGTAAATGAATTTACTCAGTGCCGATCGGTTTCTGAAGCAAAATCTTAGAACACAGCGTTCAACTCTCGAAAGAGAGGATCATCAACTGTTTTGGCAGCACTTGGTTGCTGTTAGTACTTGCTACTATTTGAGCTATTTCTCAATGCCTCTATTTCTCATAGAAAGTGAATTACAGGGGTTGGGGATAAGTTGACTTCTGACTATGATCAGCAGGCGTAAAAAAAATTATTTGTGGCAGGTTTTGTAAAAAAATTTTTCTTCGAAACGAATCAGGTTTTATAGAATTTGTTTTCATAAAGCAAAGCATTTCACGGAACTAATAAAAATCACTTTTCACGGAAAATCAAGTTTCTGCTCAAATAAAATTTCAGAACTGTTTTTTCGAATTTGTGAAAGTAGATTTCCCAGCTGAAGGTTGTTTGTTTAATTTCAAACTTTTGCGTTATTGAATTGACCTCAGTGCCCTCAGCTTCACTCGAGGCTATTCATCCCACTGATATTGTTCTTGTTATTGTTGTTGCTGTTGCCGGATTTGAATGCTGTTGCCAATTGTGTGACAGTTTTGCCGCAAATGACCATCACTGCAGTGTGCGCATGTGTGAGAATGTATAATTTGAGGTCTGGCTAATCCCTCCGAATGGTCTGATTCGTACACTCAGCGAGCCGGCCGTCGAATTATGTGGCCATCAGAAACGCGTCAACACTTTAGCCTGGCATCCAACTGCCAACAATATTCTTCTTACTGCTGGTACGTTCATCACAGAGCAAATCGTACAAAATTTAAGAAATTATTTGTAGTATTTATGATCCTGGCATAGCTATCCCCGACCAACAATAATCACAGAGACAGGATATCCACACTTATTATCCTGGTGATCTTGATATTTCCCACTCAATAATATCCCCCCATTCATTGACACTTTCAGTGAATTATGGATGAGCTACTGCAGTGCTGTCTGGTCTGTTGCAAGGCCTGCCAGCGCTGCAGAAATCCCATTCATAATCAGTCGGCTGTGATATTGCGATCAGACATAATGGATCTAAGTATCATGCGTACCGATAGACATACTGTGTCAGTAGATTCCGTTCAGGTTCAGCCTCGAATTGCTAGTTCTATACTGTATTGAGAAAACCAATCCCTCTGCGTGTTATTGTTTGGATTTGATGATAAATTAATACTTAAATGAAAAGTGAATCAGTGAGTTTTATATTTGAGTTTAAATTATGACGATTATCACTGAAATCTGCTTTTTGATGGTTGTCAATGGTATCTGTATTCTAGAAATTACTGGTGAAATTACAAGTCTTTTTGCAGGCGGTGAAAATAAGCTGTTAATTTGGAACGTTGGTACGGGCGATGCGCTGCTCGAGATTAGTGGCCATCCCGATATGATATGGTCCGTATCATTCAATTACGATGGTATGCTTTCCCTTTCATGTCATAATTTTTTTTTTTTTTTTGGCGAAATTCTAGAATTAACAACTTACGTTGCTTTTTGTCGCATTTAGAAGTTGCATAATTATTCAAAAATAATGAAGCAATTTGGAAAATTACTTTATTGTCGTCTAAGAGTTGCCCAATATATGCCAACAAAG